ACTGTAAAATTGATAACGAAGTATTTTAATATAAAATACGTTAAAAAAGTACCACAGGCCAGTATTCAGGTATCATTCTTTTTCTATGGCTACACTTCAGAGAACTATTCTTGATGATATAGCACGATAGCACAACCATACATAAAAAAACCTGTACAAGCATCTCTTATACTACAAAACCTCCTTGAAGAGAGTTTGCTACCAGGTGGAAAGAATACATGTTCTGAAGTCGTGTTTGTTTCTGATTTCTTAAGTACTTAAGAAGTATAACAATTATCTTCAACATGCCGCTTTCATGTGACTTACAGAAGTGAGTAAAATAATCCTCTGATAGCGAACTATTGTATACTTACCACAACCGCTGCTTTCTTAATAATGAGTCTTCAGATACCTCATATTCTTTTAAACCTTGAGATAAGTGTAAGTTCATAATGAGTTCAATCATCAAGCACATAAAAATGGAGATTGAGACGTGGGATTGAATGCAATATTCAAATTTTCCATTTTTCAATTTTTACCTTTATTTTCAATTTCTATTCACACTTAAGTATACGTCTTAAGGCCAGTTTATTAATAGTCAAAATTAGATTTTGATAATTATTTATTGCACGTTTTGGGGAATCTCTGTTCCTCTCGGAAACGAGTGAACCGATTTTGTTACTCCTGTTTTGTAGGGTCTTGACTATCGATGCTTGTGCAAGAAATCCGGCGTTACCTGCGCAATAGAGGATGTACAATAAGGAAACAACATGTTTTTCCCTAGGCTATAATAAAAAACGCCTCTAACAATTTTAATGAAACTTTCCTCTGATTTTCTATTTAAAGTATTTTTAATTTTCATGTATTCAGTGAATTTCCAAGAAAATTAAAGAAAAAAAGTTATAAAGAAAAGAAAATTGTTTTAGGGGGCAAACTCACAACACAAACACCTATCAGTTTTCAACAGATCTTAACGTTTCAGAGCCCGAATTATTGCAATAAGCAATAAGCTAATAGATAATTGCAAGACTCTTGCGTGAGACCCAGACCAAGACTGATTGCGCTAGACCAAGAGTAAGAATGACTAAGTCTCGTATACACACACACACACACACGTGTTGCCTCAATGCAATACTAAGACTAACTCTCGTCATGGTCTTGCATTTGGGCAACACTAGTGTGTGTATAGGTAAGTTAATGTTTTTTGTTAAAATTTCCCCATCATAATAGCATACTTAATATCATCGATTTAACAAATTTTTAAAAGATTCGCGCAAAACAGTCTCAATTACGACTAAACTCAGAAGATCTATGTACAATTATCTTTAATATCATTAAGGTCTTATCATCATTGAAATAATTGGATCAGGCTTAAATGCTGAATTTTCTAATGCTAATAAAAACTTTTAATATTTTAAAAATCTGTAAATTAAAAGAAAAGGCATAATCAAGTTGTTTACAACACCTGGAGATTGTTTCTATTTTTGTAACAGAAACGTTACTATCTTATCTGCAATGCACTTCTGGCGGGGAATGTGAAAACATTTATAAATAGTTCTGTAAATATTAATGAGCATAAAAAAAGTTTTATCAAGGAGTATGGGTTATATCATTTACTTTACCAAATGTACTCACAACATTTAATCTGAACATGAAGCGTCCTGACTATCGGCGTTTCTACATATCACACACATCACCCTTGATATGTAGAACAAACGATTAACTTACTTCTTAATTAATGAAAAGGTTAATTATAATCGCCAATAAAGAAATTTAGAAAATAAATACACTTCCAAATTATAATGTGTACATAGCTTAGATTTTATTTGCCATAAAAAGTATTTTCAAATAGATTATTTAAGCCTTAGAAACCATACGTATTTGATGAAACGGTTACATTGAATGTATGTATTTATCAGGAATCGGGATGTGGTCTAGGAGACCACATCCCGCAGTCAAAGATCTGCATGGTCTGTTGCGACAAACGAAATTAGAAGAAAAAAAAAAAAAAATATATATATATATATATATATACACATATATATACACAAAGTGTCCCGTAAATAGAGGAAAATATTTAAAATGTTGATAGGAGGCATCAAGATCATCAAAAAGTTTATATAAACAATAGCCCAATTTCCAACAGGAAATTTAAGATTTGTGTTTTTTTAAGCAAGTCACGTTTTTTTGTTCAATAGAAGCGATAGCATAAAAAGAAATTGATTTAAATAATTAAACATTGCTTCATAGCAGACTAGACAAAATTCACTTTAAACGAAAGTAGAGTTTGTCATTGTTAAAACTATTTAAAGAGGTTAGTCCGTGGTACAGACCCCCTTTTATCAAATTATTAACATTCGGCTGAAATTTCGTAAATAGCTTCATCTCATCGTAACCTACATATATTTTATTTACGAAAATTCTCGAAATTGGGGCGTCTGCAATCTGGAAATCGGCAAACTTTGTCTATTTAATTAGGTACTAAAAACTCGTAAATAACCATTTCACATAATTTCAGTTATTTCACATAATAAATAACATAATTTCACTTCATATTAAAAGAATATTAATATATAATGAAATATTGGTCAATTTAATTCAACCTTAAACTAACTATATATATATATATAAATAGTTAACAAATGAAATATTTTCATAAACTTCAAAATTTATATTACTATTACATTAAATAAATTACAATCAAACTTATTAACTTAATAGAATAAGTTTTCTTTAAACTACATTGAAACTTATTACTGAAAATGAAGCTATAATAAACTTCCTACAAAACATGCTTAATACTAAACAAATAATATGTCCACATAGCTTTTGCCTGAATTCTTTCCATTTTGCTTGAATCGTAAGATAATATGAGCACAAAATCAAGATAAATCGTAGCCATTTACCGTGACCTACATCGCCAAATTGTCAAAATAACCAGGTTATATTGTACAAACTACCCAATATTTTTGTAGGACATCTTCTTTATCGGTTTTGTGATCAAATTATCTTAGGATACAAGTAAAAAGCAAATGGGTACTTACGAGTTTTTAGTACCTAATTAAATAGACAAAGTTTGCCGACCTCAAGATTGAAAACGTCCCAATTCCGAGAATGTTCGTAAATAAAATATTTATAAGTTATGATGGGATGAAGCTATTTACGAAGTTTCAGAAATTCGTTAATAATTTGATAAAAACGAGACTGTACATCTTTAAATAGTTTTAACAACGACAAAATCTACTTTCGTTTATAGTAAATTTTGTCTAGTTTGCTATGGAGCAATGTTTAATTACGTAAATCAAATATTTTTTATGTAATCGCTTCCTATTAGACAAAAAACGTGACTCCTAAAAAAACACAAAGGCGATTCATGTTATTATTGGCAGTTTGAAATTGATTTTAGTTTGTTTGTTATGCGGCTATGGTATACCTGATGCTACTGAAGGAGTCGAGCGAGTCAAGAGTTTTTTAAGAAGTTCTATCGCCAAATATTTACATTAAAGTAAACTAATACCAGAACAAGTACATTACAAGTTTTAACTAAGACTAAGTTAATTCGTATTGTAATCGGCATCGGAAAACGTCGCATAGCAAATAATGGAATATTCAAGTTATACCAAATAAGAAATAGAATCCATCCATCAGGGTGTACTTAGATAAACTTAAATGCCACGGTAGTTGAAAAAAGGAATAAGAGAATAGGAAATTATGTCTGCCGAGTCAAAACTACATGATTAATTGTAATTATCACTGTTTCTTTGGAGTTGCATGCAAAACAAAACCCAAATGACCTGTAAAGTGAAGACATCATTCTTTACAGGATCAATCTTTATTTTATATTGAATTAGGATGTGTTTTTGTCTGATAGTGCTTACATACATTTATAAACCTTACGAACAGGAATTACAGATCTCAGAAATTGAGAAAACAATAATTCACTGTTCCTCAACTGCTATTACATAATGGACGTATAATTCAAATTTGCATATGACGAGGAATTCACAGTTAAATTCATAATAGAACCCGAATATAAAGTAAATATTATTTTTTAATGTAATTTAATATTACTTCTAAAGTTAATAGAAATTAAAGTTACCGATGACAGTCCAGTCAAAAGGATATAAACTTATTTTTTTATTTTTTATTTTTTTAGTAGCGCAGGGTTCTCCTGGAGTTCCCTCGCCTGATTGTATATAGGTATGCATGTGTTTTTTTTTTTCTTAGTTTTAATTTTCTTATTTTTTAGGTCATTTTATTTTATTATCTATTGTATATACTTTTGATTATTATTTTGTTTTATTTATGTTATTTTTTTGTATATATAGTGTGAATGTCACCCTACCTCACTATAACCAATGTCCAAGAGACAGATTGTTATAATACTCAATAAAGAAATTAAAAAAAAAAAAGATTTGTTTGCGGTAATTTTAACACTGGTTAAAATTTCTGTTATTTTTTATGTTATTTCTGTTATTTTTTCTACGATATGAATTCTTCACTATTGCTAGATAATACAAAAATATAAAATAATAAATAAATGTTTAGAATGGAAAACATTTTTTGTTACTATTCGAAATCTACTTATCTAATTTAAGCTACCTATATTTATCTCCCATAAATTTTGTTTACAATTATTTCGTGATAAATTACCTGTATTATAAATATAAAACTCCATATAATAACATAAAATAAAATACTTCTGCAAAATAGTTATTTTGATCGTTGTGGGCAAATGTGAATTCACTAATCCCTGAGCGATATTATTCTATAACTGTCCATTTGTGCTTTGTGAAACGCACAAATAAACTAAAAATAATATCATACTTTAATTGTAATGTTCAAATATTACTTCATTTTTTTTTTCATACATACATATTTTAAAAAACTTCCTATGATCCACAGTAACCTGCGGTAAAAAACCGTTCTCGGGCAGTTATGGCCCCAAAAAATATTTTAAAAACACGACTTGTGACAATTAATAAAGGAAACACTCATTGCAACAAACCGCATCCAAACTAATGTCAAACGAAAATAGACTAATAGCAGCTAGAATCGTAGATGCTAACATGTAACTTTTAGCAAAAGAAAATTACTTAGAAGAAATTTTTTTCAGAAGTGAACCGCAAAATGTGAGAGGTAGTTTTAATTTTGGAGGAAAACAAATTTTTAGATCCACAACATTAGTTACAGCGGCTATCTTACAGATTCGAAACTTTTCTTACAGATTTTTGAAACAGAAAAAAACAAAACAATTTGTGGTTGAATTTAAAAAATATTTTTTGGAAATAAAAAAAATTGATCAATTGAGATGCATTCTCATTGGTCGCCAAATCTAATTCTCTATAGGGCGGTTTTAGGTTCTTTTTTTGTTGGGAAAAGTCGTTTATTCTTCAATTTTGAAAATCTATTTTTTTCACGACTTTGGCTTTAAAACAAACTTTAAGGAAGAAAAAAATAAGGTGTTTGTAGTGCAATTTGGAAAAATTATTTGTATTGTAGAAAAAAAAAATGCTCTTATAAAAACATTTTTTGGAACAATGAAATTTACAATATTTTACTGGGATATCATTAACTAGAAACATCTGGATTCAGGTATCACCAAAAGAAAAGCTATTGAGCACATATGATGAAGTAGTGATAATTCAGATTAAGAAAATTTTTGAAACAAGTGTAACTGAATTGGTCATATTTAAAAATTATACAAGCGAATATCCGTAGTCTATCACAGGCTATGATCAAATATACTTAATACAATAACAGTTACGATTTTAAATCGTACGTTACCATAAGAGTACTTATCAGGTGTATTTGTAGGAATACATCAGGTTTTAGTACTACATTTTTAATAGTCTCACGTAACTCACACTCATTTTTCATTAGTTCTTCTTCTTATGTAGATTCATTAACTCCCGAATGGATTTATTGACAAAAATAAATGTTTGAACTTGTGCATATTTATTGAAGATGTGCTCTTGAAGCGCTAACTTTCTTTACTCTATAGGAGCCATCTACTGGCCTTCCTTGGGCTTTGCCACCACCCGAAGGAGCAACCTCTTGGACCGCCGATCTGGCAGTTCCATCACGATGGACAGCTCCTCCAGGAGTTGGAGCTTGCACCGGACGCGGACAGTTATCCTCATGGCTATAGGCTACAGCTATGGGCTACACTATGGAGCTACCTCTACACAGCTACGCTACTCAAGTGCGACACTTACCCTCGGCATGGCTGGGAGAGACTCCGCCAGGAAGGGAGCAAGCTCCGGGGGCAGTGGCGCCCTGCACCGCCCCTCGCTGCCCCACCCCGCCTCCTAGGCCACCCCACACATTACTCTCATCTTACAGCTACTGTCTTATTGACAATATAATATATAATATAATATAATATATAATTAATTTTAACAATGTATAATTTAAATGAAATACAGTTCCTAATTCTCCTTTTAGAGAAATTAGTCAATGAATTAATTTCTGCGAATAGATCTCTGATACCATATTTTTTTTCCGCCTTCCCTCTTGCAGTAACCCTATGCGGGTATTTGTTTATTTATACATTCTTCATGGATAAACCATATATATGTATCAATTAAAGTACACAGTACATAGTTTTTATAAAAATTGTAAATTACATTGTGATGATTATAAAAAAAATTGGTAAGAGATATGTATTAAGTAGCGAATCCAGGAAGGCTTGTAATTTTTTTTTTCTCTGAAAGAAAAATATAGAAATTATAAAAAATCATGTTTACATGGTACTTGAAGGCCTGATAAAAAAATAATCTATGTTAACAGAAACAATAATGATTTTTGCTTATATTAAACAGTTAAAAAACAAGTGTTCTAATATTAAAAAGTACATATTTTCATTATTCATTGAGCTGAGATCACTCACAGGAAAAAATATATAAATAATATCAACAAATACTAATAAACATTTTTTGGGGGGGAGGGAGAGGTACTTCAGTACAAAAGCACTCTCTCTTCCCCTTGGATCCGCCGGTGCTTCAGTAAAAAAATATCAAATGAAAGTAAAATGATAGATAAAAAAAAACCTGTACCACTACAACCCTTGAAGGGTCTGGGGTTCAGTACTATTTAGGGAAAGTAAAGTTTCTAGGTCAACGGTTGTGCAAGGTTTGACCGAGATCACGCTCAACCGCCAGGTTTTCCCCCTTAATTAATTATTTAATTAAGGGTACCCACTTTATAGAGGCTGGGTGTGCCCTAGGAGGGACTCAACCCAGGGTCGCCCCACGGCCTATGAAACTAAGCTACCCCACTCCCCAAAAAATGATAGATAAATTGAAAAATATCACATATTCCTAAAAACAACATTGAGAATCTCTTGGCAAGAGCAAATATAGCTGAAAGTGAAAGGTATTGAAAGAGACGCTCTCAAATAATGATGGGTACCATAAAAAAGGTTTATCACCAACTTTACTCATTCTTTTGTTTTGAAAAAAAATCTGATGTGTCCACTCACACGACTTAAAATATATATATATTTTAAAATATGTCCATTAAAAAAAAACAAATTAGATTTATTTTCCTGAAAATTGATCAAAAAGATATTTGAATACGACTTCTTTGATAAACTAAAGGAATGTAAACCAGTTTGTGGAAGATCAGCGTAAAAAATTCGATAGACTCTAATATTGCCAATAAAATTTTTTTTTCATTGCCAATCCGAAATTTGACCTGATCGCAATACTTTCCTTACTTAGTATAGATAAGAAAGTAATAAATTAAAAAAATGTGTGGAATGTAGAATACGCTGTATCATCGCTAATACCGATTCCGATAAAATTTTTTTTGTTTTGTAGGTAATTTAATTATCTTTCAAAAGTTTGCATATAAATTTAGTGAGTAACGTTCCAAAACATTTTTCTTTTCTTTATAACTTTTTTTCCTGAATTGAAAGGACATTAATTAGAAAATTATAAGAAAGTTTCATTAAAATTGTTAGAGCCGTTTTTGCGCTTCAGTCTATAGTCAAAATATGTTTTTCACTTATTGGGCAGCCGCTATAGCGCAGGGATTTGCTCCTCAGGCATCAGAAATCAAACCCCTACAAAACAAAAAAAGATAGACACACGGACCAATAGCTGAAAATGTGTTTTTCGGACTCAGGGGACTGTGAAACGTATAGATCCGTCGAAAACCGCAAATCGGAAATTTGATCCGATCGCAATACTTTTCCTTACCTAGTATAGGTAAGAAATTAAAAAGAATGATCCGCAACCTACGAAATGTTAATTGTAATAATATGCTTCGTGGTGCACTGAATTGCTTAGACTAGGAGTTATCTGGATGAACTATGATAAGGATTTAAGGGCAATGAGGAGTCAGTGATCATTATCGCATGCTACATTGCTGATCAGGCTTTTAATATCGGCTTTAATTAAAACGATTTCCATATCGTGACGAGTTCTGCACTCTAGCATTGAGCACATGAGGTTGTACGTTATAATTATATATAGTATGGAAATGGTCATTATAATATGAGAAGGAGTTGGCCGGAGTCGCGGTCAAATTAAATACTGTATATTATGATGGGTTCGCCGACGATTCGGCCCTCTTTGTAGGTTTTCAACAGGACTACAAAAGATAAAAAATTTAAATTAGTATAAAAAATAAAATATACGAATTATTAGTAGACATTAAACAAATACCAGTTGTCGGATAATGGAATTAGAAATCTTATAACCATCACAGTAACTCAATACATCACCGATTTCATCTTATAAGTTTTTTAATTTCTTTATCATACAAATGGTATTTGTATCTACTAATAATACATTTTTTTATTATTTTTTAGTTTGTACCAATTTATATTTTGTAGCCCGGATGAATGATACAAAATATCTTTCATTCAAAGCCTACAAAGAGGGCCGAAACGTCGGCGTAGCCAATAAAATAATACATGTAGTATTTAATTTGACCTCACCCCCAACCGACTCCTTCTCAAGAATCTTTCAAAGGAATACTTATTATATTTCCAAAAAGAGTCTTAATTCTGTTTATGTTTGGAATATTTATATTATTTCAGACAGAATACAGTACAGTTACTTAAGAACTCCACAATTTTCAAATATTTATCTACACCACACTAATCAGTCCCTTGTTTTGAAATTGGGTGATGCGGCATCCGGGGGTGATGCAAGCGAAGAATTCCGCGACAATAATATTTAAAGTAGAAATTATCAGCGTTTTTAACAAATATAGAAAAAAATCATAATTTAAGATAATATCTGGACAAAAGTGTATATGGTTTATCTAGAATGCATATAAACGATAAATATAGTATTATATTACCGCCTTAAGGATAAGTGTGCTACTATTTTTTTAATCCAAAAAGAGTGCCATAAGAACATTGTAACTCAAGAAGGTGCCGCGAAAATTATTTTAGTCCAACTTGAAAACTAAGTCTGCTTTCTAATAATTGTTCTTCGGTGAATAAAGCATCCAAAACTGTACTTGATGTGGTTTGAATAACAGGATTTTTTATATGATATGTAAGGCAGTTGTACTCCGTGGTACAGACCCCTTTTTATCAAATTATTAATATCCACCTGAAACTTCGTAAGTAGTTTCATCTCATCGTTACCTACAACTATTTTATTTACGAAAACTCTTGGAATTGGGACGTTTTCAATCCAGAGGGAGGCCAACTTTATCTATTTAATTAAGTACTTAAAACTCGTAAATACCCATATGGATCGATAGTGGCCTTCAAAAATATTGAGCCGTTTGGCGTGACCTACACCCCCAAATAACGACGTTATATAGGACTAACGGCCCAATATTTTTGTAGTCCATCTTTTTTGTCGAATTTGTGATCAAATTATGTTAAGATCCGAATAGAATGGAAATGGGTATTTACGAGTTTTTAGTATCTAATTAAATAGACAAAGTTTGCCCCCTCCACATTGAAACCGCCCCAATTCCAAGAGTTTTCGTATATAAAATAGTTGTAGGTTACGATGAGATGAAACTTTTTACGAAGTTTCAGGCGTATGTTAATAATTCAATAAAAAGGGGTCTGTACCACGGACTATTACTTTTTAAGTTACTGCAGTGACCGTTTGTAACTATTATATGAAACTCAGAGATAATATCGTCCGTTTATTATAAGAAGCCATTAAGTAACATTTCATAAATTCAAATAATTAACAACTATGATGAATTTTCTCTTTTTGAAATCGAAATATTTTGCACTTAGTTTAACTAATAAACGATGAGTTCGTTTCATTTTCATGCACTTACAAGTGCTTTTGTATAGATAAATGAGGTCGAAAATCATAAAAACATACTTGAAAGATAACATATTTCAAAAATGTACTTTTGGCAATAAACCCACGATATGTTTGTTCATGAATTTACTGTAAGTCAGGCGACTTATGGAGCTTTACGAATAATTAAAATATGATAGAAGTGCCCGATAATTTTCATGTTCTTGTGAACTTAATGCGCCATATCAATCATTCACTCAGCTTTGTGGATGCTGTAACAGATTTGTATACAATTTAACTGTGGAAACAGTCAATACGTGCCCATTCAAAAGGACAATTTAGGAGTACTCGTAAACCTGGGCGAGAACTATAACTTTTAGATATTCATCTTTCTTCTATGTTAGGCATTAGATGTATGTGCGTTATTGGAATAAATAATATATCGACAGCCGTACTGCAAATGCCGGTAGGGAAATTTTTTATGGATAATGAAGTTTTGAGCTTTTCGGGCCAATCTTGTCCTGGCGCATATTCTGATCACACAATCTAAATAAAAAGGTATAAGTTAGTAGTAATGGCTCTAAAAGACTATTTGGCATAAATACGATCAAAAACGTTACATAGCTTATCTTTGTATTTTGCACAAAAAATTTAACTGAAAATATAATGCTCATAGAACAAAAATTAAGCAGTTTTTTTCTCCTGAAATTTTTTAGTTTTTGTTCTTACAGAATTTTACGGTGTAGCTGTCGATATGGTACAATCATCGAGGAAGCCTATTCAAAACACAGAACTGTTACTTCAAAGATTAATATAAATAATTAGATTGCCCCAGGGGTGCCCCGAGGGGGGTTTCATGGCGCAAGCTGCACCATCAAAATAAATGAGGGGGGCACATTTTGACGGGGTTTTAAATTTTTGAGGTGACACATTTCGACGGGGTTATGAATTTTCAAAATGAAAAGTTTCAAATCAAAAGACAAGTGGAAGTATGGACCAGACCGCAAGATGTGTAATTGTATATCATATACGAATATTTAAATTCTACTTTCGTTTCCGCTGTTTTTAAGAAGCCAAGAACAATAAAATATCTGAGAGGGGTGGGACAAGGTTTATGCGCCATCGGCCATTGGGAG